TGCTCATCAACTAAACAAAGCTTAGTTAGAACTATACCCCAGTACTCCCTGGTCCATATTCTTGAGCATGAATCGAAAGGGTTCCTGTTAGTCTTTGGATGCACTTGTGGAACAAATTTGTTTTGGGATATGATGAAATGTGTCATAACTGTTTTATTGACTTTATGGATTTCACCTTTATCCAGTAAGTCATAGGTTTGTCTTTTGTCTTGGGAGTGTGTATATGAGTGTCAGGTATGCCAGCTATAGGAAATCACTTCCCACCATTATGAAAGTTATTATATGTATTATTGAGCTCTTCTAGTTATTAAACCATCACTCCTATAAACACTAAGAACAACGATTAATATGTAAAGAATAAACACTTGGGGCCATGACGTTACAAGAAACTAATCAATGACATGGTGGTGTGATGTGGCATGATGTGAAGCAGAGTTGCTGGTACCACCCTGGAGTTGATTCTGTTCCAATAACGTCAAGCCCTGAAGTGTTTTATTCTTCTTCTACCACATCATTACCATAACCATTTATTGTTATTTTTCCCATAGTGGACTGTCACAAACAAAACAACTGATACTGGAGACTTGTTCCATGAATGTTACATAAACTTCTTTTTTCAGAAAGCTTAACCAAAGCAAAGATTGTATATTGTATATATAATATAGAAATGCTAACTGCATAGAAACACTGCTTTTATATATATATATATATATATATATATATATATAAAAGGAACTTTAGTGGAGTATTAGTGGACTATTCCAGGACACGCTTGGTAAAAACAACTCAAGAACACACACACACACTGCTAACCCTCCAATCAACCCAGACATTTAGAGCATTTATGATATCGTTGTTGATATGAGCATTATCTTATCATGTGCGTCAAATGGTGATCATTATGTTTTTGCAGATAATGATGGTTGTTTTAAGGCCATGCTGTGAAACACCTGCAGAGGTGGGTTCATTACCAGACCTGAATGCCTTCGCTGCTAATGAATCCACGCATAAAGCACTTCATTAGCACTCATCCTCATCATGCCATATTCGTTGTGCCAGAGCTTACATGCTTGTTCTCGGAGATCGCTGCTGAATAATTTCCTTGCAAAATAGGTGCTGTTGCACCTCACCATGAGGCTGCAAAAAGGGCTTTTATTTATGGCGTTTTACACAGCTATGAATCCAGTCGTGCCACAGCTGCCCTGCTCTAAATGACTTATTTGTAGACTCTTAAAGCCCCAATCAGGAAGGGGAAAAGGTGTGCACTAAGAATAGCAGCGAGTTTACTAACAGAGTTCAAGCTGAAAGATTTTATTTTTTTTACATGTTAGTGGTAGAGATGTCATTTCTATGCTGCTGTTGTAGTATCTGAAAGCGGTTTTCCCGATTTAGCCTTTGTTCAGACTCTGTGTTTTTACTCCACTCTGACGTATTAGTGTGCATAGAGCTGTTTGTAGTCCTCTAAGCTAGATGACCTTTTAAACGTGCATTCATTTAAATTGTGTTTTCATTAGTAATGATCACTTTCCTTTATCTGTTTAAGCATGGTGTTGTTAGGATCCGGGATTTGAATTATTATGCAATATTGACACTAGCAAGTGAAGTGACACTCATGCCACTTATAATTTGTTTAGGTTTTTTTTTTTTTTTGTGTGAGTATGTAGAGACCGCTATTGTTGTGAAAATAAACTGATCATCCTGTTGACAAGTTTACACCCCCCGACTCTTGATGTTTCGTGCTGCATTCTTGAGAATCAGTGAATGTCTGCACCTTTTGTAATACTTGTGTAAGAGTCCCTCAGTTGTCCCCAGACTGAAAAGATGGACCTGAACATCATATAGCCCCTGTTGGAAAGGGGTCAAATATGCAGAAAATGCTGGAAAAGAAAAGAATGTGCTGGACCTAGAGGATTTTTCTGAAGAACAGTGGGGCATTTTTACTGCTCAGGACAAACAAGGGACTCATGAACAACTCTCACAAAACATAAAAACATACGTTGATCATCCAGGTAACGACACACAGTATTACGAATCAAGCGTGTGTAAACTTTTGAACTGGTTCGTGTGTGTAAATTCAGTTATTAAAAGCAAAATGCAATTTTTAGGATTCCATATTTATTTATTTGTTTATTCATTTATTATTAACATTTTGCTGACATTTCCGCAAGGGGTATGTAAACTTACAGGCACCAATGATCTCTTCTACCTCCCTACAAGCTTCATTATTTCCTTCTTTCATATGAAGGAAACCTTGATGAAAACAATGTTACAGTTCCCTTATAATTCCGTGCATTAAATAGGAACTAACTGTAGGTAAGAACTAAAGACAAGAGTTGGGAACTAAAAAAATGTCGGACCACGCACACTATACAGGATCAAAGTTCAGAGGAATTATTTGAGCCATTTGTCTGGATATGTCACTTTACATCATCATAACTACATCTGCACAGAACTGAAAAAGTCACACTGATGCTTTCCTGCTATCCACTGTCCACAAAACCATGACTGTGTGACACATATACCTATAAAATAAATAATCACATCATGCTTTGTCCCTTGCTATTGTGACTGCAGGATTACATCGCTTATGAATTATGAATGCATCATGGCTGTGTTTTGTCACTCATACAAGATTCAAGATCCATGATTCCACCTCTTAATTATACAAGCATACTGATAATATGTCTCTAATGGATCTAAAGGACTCAGGCAGGAAGTTTATTTTATATCACATTACAATATAATCATATTGCATAATCAAAACCTACCTGGTGTTTATAACTCATACAAGTTTAATAAAAGACAAGGACTTAATTATCAGCAATAATAACAACATTAATAATGTTTTGTAGCTAATTATGGAGATATTTATATATATATATATATATATATATATGATTTTTTTTTCTGGTCTCTTTAAAGACAACACATCGTACACTTTCACATTCTGGGTTATACCTGAATTACATCATTACGCACATACTGCACTTGACGTGCATACAGTGGAATATTTACTGTATATTCTGTCTTTTTATGCTACTTTTTTTGTGTATTTTGTATAATTATTTTATTGTGTATTGTGTTTTTCTCAGTTGACTTAATTTGATGCAGCACCCAGACATGTGTCAATAAAGAAAGTATTACATTGTATGCGCTTACTGCATATATGACAATGAAGTCTTTGAAGCTTGAATCTATTTCTACTTGGCCTTAATAGGGGTAAAGAATAAGAAACAATACTTTCCAGGATTGTCAGTGTGGCAGAGAAAATGATCCATAGAGACAGCTATCTGAGATTAATGAGGTTTTAAACTGGCAGAAAGCTGAGCAGATTTTCCCCATCTTCTTTTTAGTGAATTTGACAAGTTTCCTTCTAGGTGAAGATATAGACTGCTATATAGATATAGATCTATCTATCTATCTATCTATCTATCTATCTATCTATCTATCTATCTATCTATCTATCTATCTATCTATCTATCTATCTATCTATCTATCTATCTATCTATCTATCTATCTATCTATCTATCTGTCTGTCAAGATATGAACATCTAAAAATATTTTTGAATAAGTGTAGTTTTTGTGTTATGTTTTATGCAATAAATGAATACTTTGGCCTGAAAATCAGCTACATCTGGAGTGGTTGCAGGAGCATTTTTGCTATTGAGCTGCCAACAGTGTGAGGAGAAATAACTAATCGGTGTGGTGGCATTACTCAGTATAGCAGCGGACTGGGTGAAGTCTGGCCTTAATGAACTGTGAAATTACATTATGAAGAGACGGCCTCCATGCCTAAATAAATAAATAAATAAATAAATAGCAAGAGAGAGTAGAGAGGACAGACAGGGCAGGACAGCATTTTTATTTAACTTTAGCTACACAAAGCAAGAAAGCGAGAGGAAGGGTGTTGGAATAGGAAGTGTCAAGAAAAGAGAGAAAGACAGAAATAGAAAAAAAATTAGGCAGACGGTGAAGGAGAAAGGAAGAGGGAGTCAGAAGGAGAGAAGGAAACAGGAGAGACAGAAATAGAGAAAAGTAAGGAAAGTAATGGAAAGAGGAAAAGGGATATTCATAGGAGGAAAGACGGGAACATTGAGTTTAGTCTCATTAAAACGTTTGTAGAAAGACAAACAATCGATAGTTATAGCACTGCTATTGGATTTCAGTTTTTCATACATTTTAAATAATAAGAAAATGGGCCAGCACTAACCCCATCCCTAACCTTAACCTTCGTAACTCTCTACATGAATTGAGTCATGCGGCTTGTTTTGAATTTGCAAGCACATGCAACTAGAGAAAGTCTGAAATAGAAAAACAGAGGACAGAAAGAGATGTAGACCTGAGGTAAATTTGTGCTAAAAGTATCGTGCATTAAAGTATAAAAAGCTTGCAAATACGATGAATTAGCATTAAAGCAAACTTACTGTTGTGATTACAAAAGTATTACAAAGTTAATGCCAACATCATTTCACACAGCGATGAATCCAGTTATGCTACAGCAGTATGCAGTTCTACTGTAAATTGCTTCTTTATATCATCTTAAAGCCTCAGTCAGAAAGTAAAAACAATACCCTATTATAAGAATAAGCAGCAAGTTTGTGAAGAGATCTGAAAACCTCAGTTTTTTCATCTGTGAATGAAAAAAGGAAGGAGCAAGAGAAAGTTTAAAGTTGGTGGAACTGGATCGTATCTACGTTTTGTACAAGGTTGGACAATCAAGGGTAATTTATTGGACAACGATATCAGGAAATCAATGGAACCACACTAGCACCAACCTCATCACTAACTCTAACTTTCTTAACTTTCAATAAAAATTGGGTCAAAATACTGTAGGTCACGAGCCTTTCCTGAGGTGTGAGGCAGGAATACACACTGCATGGTAGAAGGCCAAAGGACATTTTTTGAGTAATTTAGATTGTAAAAGTCAAAATAAGTTTTATGTACATACAAGATAAAAATTCAAAATAATGCAACATTTCCAAATGTTATTAAATTGGTGGGCACAGTGTCTTAGTGGTTATGATGTTTGGCTCACACCTCCAGGGTTAGGGGTTCAATTCCCGATGTGTGCATGGAGTTCTCTCCATGCTTTGGGGGTTTACTCCAGGTACTCCTATTTCCTCCCCGAGTCCAAAGACATGTGTTGTTGGCTGACTGGCATATCCACTCATCCGTAGTGTGTGTGATTGTGGACTACTATGGGTTGGCGTTCAAGATGTCCCCCCTCCTTGTGCCCCGAGTCCCGTGGAATAGGCTCCATGATCCCCGCAACCCTGTGTAGGATAAGTGGTACAGAAAATGGATAGATGGTTGGAAGTTATTACGTTGTAATAATTATATATCAGGTTGTAATAACAAGACAATAGTGGTAATGTTTTATAATACGTTCCCTTAATTAATGCTTAAGTGCTTATGAACAGCATCATCAAATGACTAATCTTTATAATGAAGTACTATGTTTACTAAAGTTAATGATTGAGGAACGAATATTAAACTGCTGTGATAACCTTTTGTTAAGTATTTCCATACAAGTTCTCCATTAATTTCTCCTAAATGAAATAAACAGCAACGCTAATCAAAGTATAATAACTGAATAATTAAACAGTGACTTGTTCTCCAATTTTGGATACTAACGATTTAATAGTAAGGCTAAGAGTATTCATTTATTCACTACTTCGGTAACGTTAATATATCAGTAATTAATGCTCCAGCAATGACAACATAAGATCATTATACAGCACTGATACATATAGATAACTTAATGGTTCAAAACTGGATAAAAAGCAGTTACATTTTTATCAGAATAGTCAGAAAATAATTTAATATTAACTACTAAATAATTACACTTTTGTCAACATAGCAGTTTATTATTGTAACGTTTGAGGAACTCCTACAGTACCACCTAAATACTGCTAAGTAATTAAGCATTAATTAAATAATCTTATTGTAAAATGTCACCATTATAACATCTAATCATGACATAACTTGAAATAATGAGAGTTACTCACAAGAATTGCATAAAGAAAGATTTCCAGAAGTGATGTGCACACAATGTGCACGCATTGTAAAGAGAAGCCACATAAAGCAGGAGTAGCATGCTTTGTTTTAATTAAATGGAATATGGTTTACGATTCACATTCACTAGAGCTACATTGCAATGTTACACTGTATGTAGTATTTCATGTGTGCATCTTGTTATTTATATTCTGTACTGTTGGACCAAGAGATAAGGAAAAGAGAAAAGCAGGATGAAATATGGAAGCATAGATACGGAGAAAAAGGCAAATCCGTAGACGTTCAGCTTCTGTCACATGGATTATTTATTTTTACATCATAACGTCGTAGGCTGGTGCAATACCCTGGTGCAAAAACTCAATTTAATGGACATTCGTAAGAATACAAAGGTGACGTTGACTTCTCTTGAATCTTTGGTAGATTCTTTGGCAGATTCTGTACGTTGTCTGTTTTGGAGCCGATGGGGATTTTGGGTAAGCTTGTGGGAATGGCTTGTTCTCTAGAGCTAAATTAAGACATGCAGAGAAACATGAGTGGAAATGCAATCTGAATTTATAGCTGCCAGAGAGTTGAGACATGGGAGCCATCTGTTCTTTAAATCTGTTATTTCATTTTATTTTTTATGTATGTCTGAGTATGATTATGTATATGTGGAAAAGATAAAGGCTAAACAGAAAAGTTTTTTTCCAAACATTTTAGATTTACACACTGTAGCTTAATTGAGACTATTCGAATAATTCCCATTGGTATTTATTTATTTTTTATATATTTGTTTGTTTGTTTTAGTTTTGGTAGTTTCACCTCGTTATTATGTCAACACATACGAATCCTTGTTTGTATTTTTTTATTTTATTTTTTTTTTTCAGTTTCATTTCTGTTGAACATTTCTGCTGAACGTCTACATGTTTGTATTTTTGTTTTTATTTCATACATTTTAGCCAACCAAGTATTTTAGCCAAGTGTTTCAGAACAAAAATCGAACAAAAGCTATTGAACATTATACGTCTTGATGGGACACATGGCACCTCAATAGTCAGGTGCAGTGACTAGAATTAATTTAAGTAAATTAAAATTACATGTAACTTTTATTGACTTGGCTGGCCACAGATATGAGTTTCTCATTAGTGCCATCAGCTGGTGATGACAGCAGATGATTGACAGCAGGGCGAGTGAGTTCAAACTCGAAGTGCGGAGACTGAGAGATTGGCACGAGTTCTCTCCCGCTTCATTATCTTCCACTAACACACTGAGCGAAGGCAGGATCACGCCCACTTCTAGAGATCTTTTACTCCTAATGAGAGAACAGGCTGCATGAAAAATCTGTAATATTGACTACATTTGAGTACACAAAAAAACCAGGACTCGGAAATGACTAGGCAGGGATTGGGAAAGAGGGAAAAAAATAACAGTGGCACATAATTTGATGTGTTATATTTCTGCACAGGAAGTTATTCGGTGAGTGACCAAATATAGCAGGCTAATATAATATCATTTTCAGTTTGCCCCAATGCGAAGTTCTAATTTAATTGTAATTGCCTAATAAGAATCTTCTGTTACACTCAGACAAGACGAAGACTGAAGACTGAATGTCTGGTGTAGGAAATGATGACCTCTTCATCATTTCATTTACTTTTATATATATATATATATATATATATATATATATATATATATATATATATATATATATATATATACACACACATATATATATATATATATATTTTTATCTCAGTTTTATTTCTCCTATTCTTACTTAACTTCCCAGGTCTGGCATGGTGCATCCGTTATGATGTATCTCTTCACCCCAGTGGGTGGCATGAAACATTTGCCTCAAGTACCAATATTATTGTTCTGTACATTTGTCATACATTAACTCAGAGAACCACAGACGCATGTGACAACAATCCATTTCAGCTCAGTCAGCATCTAATAGTTACATAGTGACAACTGGAGATGTATTCTGGGCTAAAGAAAAAATCTTCAGAGCAAAACATGATTTATTTTAAAAATGCATTTTACTTAATATTGTATTCTTAACCATAAATTTGTAAGGCAAGTAACGTAATTGTATGGACATCAGTAAGTGTAATCGAATTAGATACATTTAAAATGGAACGCGTTACATTACTGCGTTATCAGAAAAAAGTAATTAGATTACAGTAATGAGTTATTTTGAATCACATTGCTCTACTTAAATGTGAACATGGGTCAAATTGACACATTATATAATAGAATGGTTAAATATAGGTGCGCAACAATTATTGGCACCCCATGAATTCATATATGAAAATTATATTCCCATTAATATTAATTACATATAATATTTATATGTATATATAAGTACACCTGGGTGAGGAACACAAAATTGTTCAACCATGACATCGTATAAATATGAGGTAACACATAGGCCAAATTCCCTTAATCATTCATAAGAATGAGTAAGATCAAGGAATATAGCTGTGATGTGCGGCAAAAGGTTGTTGAGTTTCACAAAATGAGAAGTGTCTATAAGAAAATCGCACAAGCATTGAAAATGCCCATTTCCACCATCAGTGTAATAATTAAGAAGTTCCAGTCAACTGGAAATGTTATAAATCAACCTGGAATTAGATGTGTGTCTATATCGTCTCAACGCACTGTGAAGAGGATAGTTCGCGTGGCAAAAAAATCTCCAAGGATCAGAATTGGAGAATTGCAGAAGTTAGTTGTGTCTTGGGATCATAAAGTCTCCAAAACTACAGTTCAAAATCACCTACACCACCACAAGTTGTTTGGAAGGGTTTCAAGATGAAAGACTCTACTCTCATCCAAAAACAAACTCAAGCATCTTCAGTTTTGCCAGACACTACTGGACCTTCAAATGGGATCGGGTTCTATGGTCAGATGAAACCAAAATAGAACTTTATGGCATTAAACACCAGAGGTGGTTTTGGTGCACACACAGAGCTCTGGAAAAGTTACTCATGCCTACGGTTAAATATGGTGGTGGATTTTTAACGTTTTGTGGCTGTTTTTCTGACAGAGGACCTGGACATTTTGTTAGGATACATGGCATCATGGACTCAAATATCAACAGATATTAAATGAAAACCTGACTGCATCTGGCAGAAAGCTTAAAATGGGCCGTGGATGGATCTTCCAGCAGGACAATGATCCAAAACATACATCAAAATCAACACAAACGTCAACAAAATCAAATGGTTTACTGACCACTAAATCATGGTCCTGCCATGGCCATCCCAGTCCCCTGACTTGAAACCCAGAGAAAACCTGTGGGTGGATCGACTTCGAAATCATGTATATATATATATATATATATATATATATATATATATATATATATATATATATATATATATATATATATATATATATATATATATATATATATATATATATATATACATATACATATACATATATATATATATATATATATATATATATATATAATATTATTTATATATTTTTCTTTATTTATTTTTTTCTTGATAAACCTGTTTTGTTTACAATTGTTTACATTTACATTTACGTTTATTCACTTAGCAGACACTTTTATCCAAAGCGACTTACAAATGAGAAAAAATACAAGCAAAGCAATATATCAAGAAGAGAACAATACAGGTATCGCTACCATACAAGATCTATTAATTGAGTTCCAGAAGAAGCAAAGTGCACAGAGTAGAGGTGCAAGTGATTATTATTTTTTTTATATCCAATTGATAGTATTTTTGTGAATTTATTGAACAAAAGCTCAAAAGGTTAAACAATAAAGACCATATTTACCAAGGGTGTCAATATTAATAGAGGGCACTGTACGTGGGGCATAATTCAAGCTTTAAAGGTACAGTAACATCAGTGCAATTTTAGCCACCTGCACTACTTCCGTTATGGATCACAGCTTCACAACATTGCCGAACCGGACTCGTTTTCCAATCAGCAACAGCCACTTCCATATTCAAGGTCATGTAATTTCTGATCGCACGCAACTGCACCCGATTATGTACACCTTTAAATAACCCAGACTCACATACACAACACACACACACAGCAA